GGGGTGCATGCCACCTCCTCCCACCCCGGGGATTTACCGGCAGCCAGGACGGCAGCAGGTCCCGCAGGACACCAGCAGAGATGCTTTGCCAAGTCCCGGTGGTGCCTCTGGGGTCACCTGGGACCGTGACGGGGCGAGGGCAGCCGTTGCCCCTGGAGGAGATGGCCCCGGTGGGAACCAGGGCAGGAGGGGCCGGTCACCGCCGCCTTGACCCTGGGGTCTCCAGAGACGCGGGAGGTTTCAGCCCCGTGGAAGCGGGAGGAAAGGCAGCGCGGCTCCCAGCGCCAGGCATCAGCATCCCAGCGCCCTGCCCTATGAAACGGGGCAGAGGGGACATTTCCACGGGGACGCTGGCGCCAGCCCTTCTCTCAAGGAAAATCCTGCTCCCCTCGCTGTCTGCTCAGGCAGAAACGCTTGCGGTAATTAATGAGCGGCGCGCTGAGCTGCGGAGGTGCCACACAGACCGACGGCTGCCGCTGCCACCGCTCTGTGCCAAAGCCCGGGCAGCCTCCAGGCTTTCCCCTGCAACACCCTGAAAACTCCTGGGCACCCCCAGCCTGGGGCTTTCCCTGCTACAGTCCCCAAATCCCGCTGCAGCCTTGGTGCTGCTTCCCGGCAGCTCGCAAATGTTGTTTGGAGACACCGACCCTGACTGTGAAAGCCAAGAAAAGCGAAATAAATCCAACAAGGGGGGTGACTCAGCAGATGTCCCGCAGGCGAAAAGCGAACGTGCGGTGCACCCAGTCTCCCTCCCCTTAGGAAAGGGACGGATCGCCCTGGAGCAAAGCACCCGAGGCTGCTCCGGGAAGGAGGGAGCAAGCGGTACCAGCAGGACGCGTGTCCCCTCGGGGGCCAGCACAGCCCCCGCCGGTGTTCCCCGGCTTTGCCCCAGCCGAGGGCTTGGCCCGTGCCGTGCCAGGAGGCAACACGGGGATCTCTTTCCCCATGGAGAAATGGGTGCACTGGGAAAGCCAAGTGCGTTGGGAGCTCTCGGGTCCTGCCGAGGGATCTGGGAGGGGTGGTGAGCTCGGTCGTTGTGCAGCACGCAGGGGCGAGGAGAGGAGTAAAGGAGATGAGACTCGACTAGGCTAGACCAGAGCAGACCATTCCTGGAGGAAGCCCAAAGCCATCTCTGTGTTAAGGCACCTTCACCACCCAGTTCCTCCTGGGAATTGCTTCCCACAGCTGCACGGGACAAGAAATCACAACCCGCTGCCCCGGAGCAGCCCTCCCGTGCCCGAGTTTGCCCCGTGCTGCACCCCACGCGCGTGCAAGCGCGAGCTGACCTCCGTGCACGCGTGGCCATGCTATAGATGTGCGTGCACATGCTCCTTTCTCCGCGTGCCCGGCTGCACACGCGTGTGCACGCCTTCGCGCCGCCGCGTGCGTGTCTCCGGGTATATCCGCGTACGACTGAGAGCAGGGATGCCGGGAGGGGTGCGAGGGGTTACCTGCGGAGCCTGGAATGAGCTGGAACCGGATCGTCCTCGGAGCCAACGCGGTGCTGCCGTACCGGTGTCGTGCGGGGCGGCTGATGAGGGAGCGGGGCCGTGATGTCACGGGGCAGGAGGAAGAGGAGGATGGGGAAGAAGGGGTGGCCAGATGGGGAACGAATGGCCGCGCCCAGCACAAGCCCGGCCCGGGGGGCTCCGTCGGGGCTCAGGGCCGGATCGGGGCCAGTGGCCCCGATCCAGC